ACATGTTTCAAAATGTCTCCTCTCCTCTCCAGTGGTACTTAATTAACAGAGTGGAGGATTTAAAGAAATACTTAATTTTGGGTAATACACTTATTTTCCCTCTTGTCGAGATAGACGAGAACATCAAAACCACTTTCTGACTGTACAGTAGGTATGAAGCTGGAGCCTGGTAAGCGTAGCTTAGCACAAAGACTGAAAACAGAGGGAAACAGTTAGCCTGGCTGTGTCCAAAGGGGACCAGCTATTTCTGAAACTCTCCAACTAACAGGTTAGATCTCGTATCTTGTAGTTTTAATCCATACAAGTGCATGCAAAAATTACACATTGTTGGTGAATGGGCCGTCCTACTTCTCACTGTTTCCAGTCTTTGTTTTAATATAAGCTAATCATATTAGCATACGGACGTTAAAGTGGACCTTTTAAAGACCCATTCAATTTTTTTTCCATCTTCCATCTCACTTCTTAAAAAGTAAAAGCCCTTGCAATGTGTCTCTTAAACACAATTATTATTAGTTTATGTGGGAGAGTTGCTCTTCCAATAGTTCTTGAACTAATGTAATTAGTTAAAAAATATCTCCTCATGTGCCCCGTGGTCAGAAAGCGAATTCCCAAAAATGTCAAACTATTCCTTTAAATATATACTATAATGCATGCACATAGATTAGATAATAGTTTCTTTCTCCTGCAGGCATCGACTGGGCTACAGACAGTAACCGTATAGTTACTTGCGGAGCGGACCGTAACGCTTATGTGTGGACCCTAAAAGAGGGCTCATGGAAGCCCACCCTGGTCATCCTCAGGATCAACCGCGCCGCTCGCTGCGTCAAGTGGTCACCACAAGAGAACAAGTTCGCTGTAGGTAGCGGCTCACGCCTCATCTCCATCTGCTACTTTGAGCAGGAAAACGACTGGTGAGGTTCTCGAAAGATAGATTCGTGCATGAAAAGGGTGCATTTGATTATTATGAACCAACACGCTTCTAGCATATTTAATTTAATTTATGTTATTTAAAGGTGGGTGTGCAAGCACATCAAGAAGCCGATCCGCTCCACCATCCTGAGTCTGGACTGGCATCCCAACAACGTCCTGCTGGCTGCTGGATGCTGTGACTTCAAATGCAGGTATGAGTGAATCAAAAGGGGTGTGCAAATGTGTAACTACACTTATGAGGACCTCTTTGCCTCCTTCTGTCTTCCTTCTATCTTGTTCACATCTCGACCCCTCTCGCCCACAGGGTGTTTTCCGCCTACATAAAGGAGGTGGAGGAGAAGCCCGGTCCCACCTCCTGGGGCAGCAAGATGCCGTTCGGGGAGATGTTGTTTGAATCTGGCGGGTCTGGAGCAGCAGGTGAGACCACAGCTGGAGGTTGGGTGCACAGCGTCTGCTTCTCACACTCCGGCAACCGCCTGGCCTGGACCTCCCACGACTCCACGGTGTCTGTCGCAGAGGGAGGCAAGACTGGCACGTAAGAGAAGGGCGGGGCTGCATACTTGTGTTTCTGTGTGTATGTGTGGGTGTTTGTATGCACTCTGACCTTTTGTCATGACTCCGCAGGGTGAACAGTCTGAGCTCTGAGTCTCTTCCTTTGCTGTGTGTCACCTTCATCACTGAGAACAGCTTAGTAGCAGCTGTAAGTATTCAACACATTAACACAACAGCCAACACATTTCAGCCGTGAGCCTTCAAATAAACCCAGAGTTAATCAACCAATGTCACAATATGGCGGCTTTGCTGTTTTTGGTGGAAACTCCCCTCTAAATAGAATATAGGATGAATTCACAGAGAGCCTTTTTTCCCCTGAGTTTTATTGCAATAACTAAGGTTCACATTTGTGGAACTCTCACCTCGCCGAGCTGGAAAGAATGAGAGCTACTGAATGAAGCTTAGATAAAAAAACTTCAGGTGAGGAATTTAAATGTGACAGAGAGAACCCTTAATTGTTATTTATTTAATTGTATATCCCAGTCTGTCAGTATGAATATGCTCCAGTTACCACCAACTCTCTGAAGACTCAGAATAGTTTTATTTTTAAATATTAGTGCTGATCTTTGTGAATTGGACCGTATTTGCAATGAGGCTTGAGACGATTTTTCTCAAGATGTTCGACTTCATTTAAATACGTTCAAATAGCACAGGAGGAGCACTGAAGCCGTCTTTGCTTGGCAGCACAGTTATTGGTGCATTTCACCCTCTGCGGGTGCTTTGAGTATTACACAGTTTCTGGCTGCAAAAGCCGTGCAGTCCTTTTGTGAAATCGCTCCTGAGGGTATTGTATAGCAGTGCATTGTATTGCTTGTAAATAATGTGTTATTTCTTCTTCTTTCAGAAGTTACATAGTCTTGCTTTAAAGCCACTATGTGTATAGCTTCACTTTGGCTCCTCACAGTGGTGATATAAAAAAAAAAAAGGCATTGTTACAGACGGGGACACATCACCAAAATACTTTGAAAGACTCTACACAAAATGGCTTTGAGCTTTCGAGCTATAACTGGATATAAAAACAAACTCGCGAGCGATATCCAGTCTCATATTACCGTACTGATGTTATCCAGACAGAACATCTTCCTCATGTGTTTCTGCTCCTCCAGGGCCACGACTGTTACCCGGTGCTGTTTGTGTACAACGGGGCCAAAACCAGTCTGACATTTGGTGGCAAGCTGGACGTTCCTAAGCAGGCGGCCCAGAAGGGCATCAGTGCCAGGGAACGTTTCCAGAACCTGGACCGTCGGGCCTCAGAGACCCAGAGCACCGAGAAGGACCTGAACACCCTGCACAAGAACAGCATCAAGTGAGGAGTAGAGAAATAAACAAACATTCTTATTTAAAGACCGCCTCTTCATCATCATCATCATCCTCTGTTAAACCAGCAAGCTTTATTTGTAACATCATAACTGCACAGAGTTTGACTTGTCTCAAACTATATTGCAGCCAAATCTCAGTGCTGGAAGGAGGACGAAACCAGTGCACCAAGTTCTGCACCACCGGCATGGATGGAGGAATGAGCATCTGGGATGTCAAGGTAACACACACACACACACACACACATTGCGCAGATTATACAAGAATACACTGATATGGTCAAATGTGTATTTGTGTCTTATCTAGGGGCTGGGTATTGGAACTCAATACCTTTTAAGGTGTTGACCGTAATAATTCAGTAATATCTAGTATGAAAACTTTTCCAGTCAAACAAATATATATAGCATATTTCATGTAGTTGGCAGTGAAGCGTGCTGAGATGCCACTAAATGTTTGAAAGTATGTCTATACCCACACGCCTGTGGCGTCTGCTAAAAATAAATCTGGTGGTGATGGCATTTTATGCAACTGAATGCATCAAACCACATAATGGGTATGGAATAAAATAAAAAAAGGTATCAAATGAAGCACGCTATTGGTATCGGTATCCCTTTAAGGGTACTGGTGTCGTTATTTTTAAATGATACCCAGCCCTAATAGTGTTCTGTTGACATGCTGTTTTCCAAGATAATATAATAATATATCTTTTTTTTTTTTTCAGAGTCTGGAGTCTGCAATGAAGGATTTAAAGATAGACTGAACCGAAGATTACATCACTCCGCCGGACGTATATTAGCTTCTGGAGATATGAAGGAAAACTGCTGCCTTATTACTCAAAGCTTCTTGGCCTTTTTTTAATCAGGTATTTTCTATACAAATGAAATGACCGGACTCAAGTCACACAGTGTTTGTAATCCCTCTGAAGCTCTTTGCTGAGCTTGTTAAACTCAACACTGTGTACAGGGACTGGCCACAGGTCTGCAAACGGTGCTTTATGAGTTCGGTAACTATAAACACAGACAGCTCCGTCTGAGCTGAATGCTTAAAGCAGGAATTTTATATTAATCATGAAGAAAGGCTACAGTATGTGTTTAAAGCTTATGCTGGTCATAATATGCATTTAATAAACAATTGCTGTTACAGTGCTCAACAAATGCGTGGTTCATTACAGGTGTGTCACATCGCTTATTGTTTCGGGGAATCTGGAGGTTTTAACAACATGAGAAAGCTCATTATTCTTAGAAACAGCAGTTGAGAACTTATTTGTTGCAGAGATGCTCAGAATCATGTGAAGTTTGAACAGATCAGATGCTCCTTATGAAGACCATGTGATGTGGTCAAAAGCTCAGTACATGAGAGTTCACATTGTTTTGTCAACCTAAAGAAGAGTTTTTATTCTGTATTGACACAAAAATTACACATGGATGAAAACAAATAGTAAAGACATTTAACAATGTAATGGAACAGTTCAGTGAAATGAGATACATGGCTTGTCAAAAAGATAATTGTTAGTTGTGTGGCATAACTTAAACACAGTATGGAAGAAGAAAACTAACAAAAGAGCCCAAAATGTACGCTTTAGATTTCAAAACTGTGATTAAAATGTAATGTCAATGTAATAGTCAGGTTCAAAGTAAAGAAGGTGTGGCTGAGTTTGAACATAGGCACTGTTGCTTTCTAACTTTGCTAATAAGACACTGTCCCAACCGACCCCGCCCTCCCCTGTACAGAATTAGTGGCTTCTAGAGCTTTCCAAAATGTTTAAAATAAGTGAGAAATAAAATAAATGTACAAAAGAGGAATAAAGGGGCGTGGGGCTAACAGAAATATCAACAGCTGTAAATTAGCAATAATAAAATTAGGAGGATATATTTTGTGTAAAATTCTGAAATACAGTATTTCTAAGGTAAGCCAAGCCCTTCTCCAGTTTGTTTAGCCCAATCGTCAATCGATAACCCAGATGACATCACTATGACATCATCGGGGGTTAGTTTTTTCCGTCTTGACCAATAATATATAAACTGTTTCACTAACCAGGATTAATGAATTGACCCACGTGCCCCTCCAAGTAGTGTGTCTCTTTACCTGAGAACAATAATAAAACGCAAAACAATCATCATCATATATCTTCAACCGGCCTCCAACTCCGTGCCTTCATCGCCACCTGAAGGTAGAGCCGGGAACTGCACGTACAACAACAAATCGGTAAATCGCCTCAGCCACGAATCGGTCCCTGAGAAAATGATGTGGCATCCTTCAGTGATGAAAAACCTCACCGAGTCGTGATGAGGTGAACCGGCGGCTGGAGCTCCAGCAGAGACGGACAGAGAGAGGGAGGGAGACAGAGAGAGGGGGAGAGAGAGAGACCACCAACATCTCCAACATCACCACTGTGCAGGGAAAGCGGCCGTCCCCTCAGAGAGACCATCCCCGACGCCCACACTTCCGGACTGGAGCCTCTGGAGGCAGCTGGGTCGGGATGCATCCGTCTCCCGGTGCCGCTTGAGATGAGGATTCAGGACGACGTCCTCCCCGGTGAAACGACGATGCTCGTTACGTTACATTAGACCTGCCCGTTACGACCGGATCAGAAGTGATCGGCGCGTTATTCGCTGCACACTCAAGAGGGGATTCGGGCTTTAGCCAATACTGTCTGTCTGCTGTCAACTGTTGCTTATTTCCACTGTAAATGAATCTTATAAGGTAGGTGAGATCATTTTTTATATCCCGCTGATAATACAAAGAAAAATGAATCATATTGGTACCTGATGGAGGATGAGGATGCAGAGGATGAAGGGTTTGGGAACGAGCTGTTTAAAAAAAAATTAAAAAGTCAACGTTTACATTTCAACATATCTTGTGACTGATGATTGTGCAGCTCAGGGTTTATCTGCCTGACAAGCATCATTATTAGACACACACACACACACACACACACACACACACACACCTGCCAAGTCCCTCTTCCTCCTCCTCCTCCTCATCATCATCATGTTGCTGTCTCCTCTGTATTTTTTCCTTTCTGTCTGCACAGTCTTTCTTGCAACACACAATGGGCCACGCAAACACACATCCTCTCTTATAATTGAACTTACACATGAAAGAAAACAGTCTGGCTCCAGGTTGTCATGGATGTGCTTCACAATAGGAAGAGGTCAAACAGAGCAGACCAGGGCTGCAGCTGAATTGTATTCACAACCAGTTAATGTGCTGATTGCTTCCTCGATTAATCGATTGTTTGGTGTGTAAAATATCAGACAATTGTACATAATGTCCATCACACAGAGCTAGGGTGACATCTTCAAATGTCTTATTTTCCAAAGCCTAAAGATATTCAGTTTACACTGATATAAAATAAGAAAAATCAGCATATCTAAGATGCTAGAAATCAGCATGTTTGTGGTATTTCTTCTTGAAAAATTAGTGAAACGATTAACAGCTTAGCAAAATAGTTTTAACTCCAGAGCAAACCACATTGATAAGCCCTTTTGAACCCAAATGTGTGTTGTTTACCAAGAGCCAAACCTTCTTATATCGTACTTAAAATTAGATACGATGAAAAACTGTTTCATGTGAAGTTCAATGTTGTGTTGTATTGGAGACTATAGGCGAAATATCTTTATTATGATTTGTCCTGCACGAGATGCCATAACTGTTACTGTTATTCTTTTCTAAGTAGTTAGATAATCGTAATTATGTTTGTTTATTTGCTAAAATCATTCACACTTTTACATGAGACCTCAAACTATTAATGGATTTGTCAATGGACAAAAAATGACTGAAAGCTATTTCTCAAAGTTGGTTAATTGTTACAGTTGTTTAATCAAGGAAACATTAAAAATATTCTGTGTTGATTAAGCTTTTCAAATGTGAAAATGTGCTGCTTTTCTGTGTTTATACAGTTTAAAATTAATCAAAAACATTACTGACAGATTAATCAATAATGAAAATAATCTATTTGATATCATTTTTACACCGAAACACGCAATGAAGTCCACTAGAATATACAATTACAACTAATGGATATTTCCACTTTCTTTAGTTTAATAAATTAATTGTCGCCTTTAAAACATCAGATGATGAAACATGACTTTCACAACGTCCCACAGCACCAGGTGAACCCAAACATATTTCATTTATAATGATATGCAGCGATTATAAAAGCAGCAAATCCTTACATTTGAGAAGCTTGAACCAGACATTTTTGCCTGTGACTTAAACGATCAATTTATTATTAAAACGGTTGCTGACAAATTTTCTATCTGTGAACGAATCAATTATTTGACTAATTGTTTCAGCTCTATACTGGAAAGTTCTTTTTTTTTTTTTTCACCGGTTTCCTTTTTTTTTTTATACTTGATAGACTGACACACAAAGAGTCGGACTAGCTGGACCATAAAACAGGCTGTAAGGTTAATTCATGTTCACCGTTAAGCGGACGGAGGTTTTTGTCTTCACGGTTCAATAAGACAATGAGAGCGTTCCGTCTGTCCGTCCTGCTGTCGTATGAGAAGAGTTGTCCTGATGCTTCCGCAGCTCTGCTCCTCTCTGTCCACTTAGTGTGTCTCTCTGCCTGGCCTCTGGCCTGGTAATTAACAGCCAGCTTGATAAAGTCATTAATGACCCGGCCAAGCCTGCTGGGCCTGGCACTGACAAACACACACACACACATACCACACACCAAAGAGAGAGAGTTAGTCTCGTGAGGCCAGTCTTGGATGCAAAGCGAGGAAGCCTTTTATTTGGGACAGGACAGTGTTTTTTTTCTGGGCTGGGTCAGTTAGTATTAATAACTCTGAAAGAGTGTCACTCTAATACCAACTGCTTCAGGAACAGGAGCAAAATGCAGAAAGAAACATGTTTGTTAAGACATGTTTTAACCATTGTCTATATGTTTCCATCCTCCTTCAGTTTTACCTGCTGATCAGCGATTTAAAAAGGTTTAAAACAGGTGACGCGTAGGAGGAGAACATCATGTTCTACCGTTTCACACTGTTGCACAACACAGAAATATAGAGTGGACAGATCTCAGGGTGATACCCCTCCACTTGGACTGAAACATTTGAAATTGTTTAGGAAGAATGTTATCTTTTTCCCTGAGAAGATGGCACATAAATAAGTATGGATGTAGGTTATATGTTTGTAATATATGTATAAGTATGGATGATGCTGTTAGGAGGTTTATCTTTTATCTTTGGCTGAAACATCTTAAGGTTCAAAGGTTCCCACCAATCTTAGAACTGTGTGTGTGTGTGTGTGTGTGTGTGTGTGTGT